GGGTACAAGTGCCCCTATGCATCAGTACTCCTGTGTCCCTTGGATAAATTCCTAGCAGTGCTATTGCTGGGTCATAGGGTAGGTCTATTTTTAATTTTCTGAGGAACCTCCACACTGCTTTCCAGAGCGGCTGCACCAATTTGCATTCCCACCAACAGTGCAAGAGGGTTCCCGTTTCTCCACATCCTCTCCAGCATCTATAGTCTCCTGATTTGTTCATTTTGGCCACTCGGACTGGCGTGAGGTGATACCTGAGTGTGGTTTTGATTTGTATTTCCCTGATAAGGAGCGACGCTGAACATCTTTTCATGTGCCTGTTGGCCATCCGGATGTCTTCTTTAGAGAAGTGTCTATTCATGTTTTCTGCCCATTTCTTCACTGGGTTATTTGCTTTTTGGGTGTGGAGTTTGGTGAGCTCTTTATAGACTTTGGATACTAGCCCTTTGTCCGATATGTCATTTGCAAATATCTTTTCCCATTCCGTTGGTTGCCTTTTAGTTTTGTTGGTTGTTTCCTTTGCTGTGCAGAAGCTTTTTATCTTCATAAGGTCCCAGTAATTCAGTTTTGCTTTTAATTCCCTAGCCTTTGGGAATGTGTCGAGTAAGAGATTGCTATGGCTGAGGTCAGAGAGGTCTTTTCCTGCTTTCTCCTCTAAGGTTTTGATGGTTTCCTGTCTCACATTCAGGTCCTTTATCCATTTTGAGTTTATTTTTGTTAATGGTGTGAGAAAGTGGTCTAGTTTCAACCTTCTGCATGTTGCTGTCCAGTTCTCCCAGCACCATTTGTTAAAGAGACTGTCTTTTTTCCATTGGATGTTCTTTCCTGCTTTGTCAAAGATGAGTTGGCCATACGTTTGTGGGTCTAATTCTGGGGTTTCTATTCTATTCCATTGGTCTATGTGTCTGTTTTTGTGCCAAAGATCCCCTTTGAAAGAGATCTTGAGTTAATGGGAAGAACACTATATTGGATGGTGGAAGATGGGTTCAAGTACCAGCACACCTAGTCCTATGGCTAGGATCAACACTGCATATTTCACAGGATTGTTTTGAAGACAAATGAAGTATTATGAAGATGTTTTGTGAATTGTGTAACAGTATATAAATGTAAGGAATGGTAATTCCCTAATGTTTGCACATCTAGAATATAGGCATTGGAGGGACCCTTAGAGAGCATCTGGTCCATGAGAAAGGCAGTGTGGTGTAGTGGAGTGAACAGTTTCTGATATTAGATTGACTTAGGTTGGAATTCTACCTTTTGCCTTGAGCAAGATACTTGAGTCTCTGATTTTGATCTGACACGTGGGAATCATAGTAGCTACCAGGATTGTGAGGATTAAATAAAATACATAGCAGGTGCTTAATAAATATCCAGATCCCTTTCCTTGAAGAGCATTGTTAACTTCCCTTTCTCACACTGGGGGTCCCTACCTCCTCTGTTAGGCATAATTTCTTGCCTTGGAATTCTAGAGGTTGATCCCTTCTGGAGCAGCAGAAATGAGGAAGGGACACTTGTCCACTCTTGATTTACATTTGTCTAATGGGTTGGCCCCTCTTGTCCAAGGTGTCCTAACAGTAGTAGGCACAGTTGCCCCAACAGACTCTAAGAATCAGCCATTACAGAAAGAGCCTGGAGGTGCTGCTGCATGGTCTGACCAGAGTCCATATAAGAGTAAGGCTCAAGAAAAACAGCTGTCCACAGCCCCCACAGTGTACTCTGTCTCTGAGCATGTTCATGGGCCTGCCAAGACTTCCTCAGCTGCTGGCTTGGTCCCCAAGTAAAGGTTATTAGAGCATGAAGTCTGGGGTCCGCTCCTTCAGACACAAACCACAGATTTGGCAGGCTCAGCCATCTTGCAAGAGGACAGGGCCTCTGTGCTACAGTTGGCTTTTACTCTAGTTGGCTACCTCTTATTTCCAGCCAGTTACTCCTGTGTTGACACTTGCCAAACAATCTCTGCTCATCTGGAAGTCTGACCACTAATTCACTGTCATAAGACCTGTTCTTTCCAAATCCTTCCTTCACATTGTTAACCCTACTAACTACATCACATTGCTAAATCTAGTATTTCCATGGACCGTAGGGCCCAGAAACCCTCTGACTTCCCACAGATCTCCCCAAGCAGTGTGTTCTGGCAGAAAGAGCCAGAAAGATAGGGTGGTGAATCCCAGCTCTCCATTTTTGTATTTGGGCAAATTATGTAATCTTCCTAGTGTTTTCCAGTCGGTAAAATGGTTTAATAAGACTGACCTCAAGGCTTGTAGTACTCATAAAATGAGATGTGGCCCAGAGCCTGATAGTAAGAGTTTAGCAAATCTTGAACTGATTCCCTACTCTTTCCCAGGATGTGTTGGAACTCACCTTCTGTGCTTTTTACTTTAAATCATTTTTGGAACAGACTCTTCAGTCAATAGGCAAACTAGCAGACAATAAATAAAACACACCTTCTTTTCTCTCTTCTATCTTTCTTACTCATCTTTATTCTTTTTCCTTTTCTAGGTGCTTGTGTTCTTCCCTTTCTATTCTTTTTTTTTCTTTTTATGTGTGAATGTGGGTCCTTTTTGTTTCTTTTCTGCTTCTCCTACCATACTTCAGCCAGGGTCAGGGAGAAATTAAGGAAATATTTTCACTGTGACAGAGCAGAAGATATAAGAGGTTAAGAAAGAAAAGTATTCTAGAATAGAACCAAGTCTCTTACTTTATGCCCTTAGCGTTGGAACTTGCATTAGTTATGTAGATCTAAACCACTTTGGTTTCGGTAAAAATTGAGGGGGAAAACTACTTAACCTATCCTTAGTATGGCCAGACCACATTTTTCTTCCTTCATATCTTAACTAATCGGATTTTTAAATTTATTTTTGTTTAAATATTATTTTGTTGTTTATTTTTGAGAGGGCGCAAGTGGGGGAGGGGCAGAGAGAGAGGGAGACAGAATCTGAAGCAAGCTCCAGGCTCCGAGATGTCAGCACAGAGCCCAACAAGGGACTCAAATTCTTGAACTGTGAGATCATGACCTGAGCCGAAGTTGGATGCTTAACCGACTGAGCCACCCAGGTGCCCGTTAACTAATCTGTTTTTGCAGTGATGGGCTCCAAGGCCAAAAAACAGATCCTTGCCAGCAAACTCTTTTAGGTTCCCAGGAGCAGAGGGAGATGAGGCAGTGGGAAGAAAGACTACAGGATGGTAGAAAATGAGATGAACTGTGGGAGGCTGGCAGAATTGGAGCTCCCTGGGCTAGAAACCTTGACCTTGACAAAATCACTCTTCTTTCTGTTTCCTTTTTATGAAGTGTTCTCTCTCTCTCTTTTTTAAATTCTTTTTAGTGTTTATTTATTTTTGAGAGAGAGAGAGACAGAGTGTGACCAGGGGAGGGACAGAGAGAGAGGGAGACACAGAATCGGAAACAGGCTCCAGGCGCTGAGCTGTCAGCACAGAGCCTGACGCAGGGCTTGAACCCACAAACTGCGAGATCATGACCTGAGCCGAAGTCGGGCGCTTAACCAACTGAGCCACCCAGATGCCCCTGAAATGTTCTCTTTTTATGAAATGAAAAGAATAATTCTCACTTACCTCTCTCATGAAGTGATTAGGAGGATCAAATATGAAAGTGCTTGTGAAATGTGAAGCAGATAAATGCTACTTAAATGTATCATTTATATTTATTCAACTACAAAACACCTATTTCTCTTTTTCTTTAAGTTTATTCATTTTTGAGAGAGAGAGAGAGAGAGAGAGAGAGAGAGAAACAGGGGAGGGACAGAGAGAAAGGGAAAGAGAGAATTCCAAGCAGGCTCTGTACTCAAAGTGGGCTGGAACACAGGGCTGTGGACACAGGGCTGGAACTCACAAAGGCGAGACTATGACCTGAACCAAAATCAAGAGTCAACTGACTGAGCTACCCAGGAACGCCCAAAGCACGTATTTCTTGACATCCACTGCTGTGCATTGGAGAACTTAACTATTGGAAAGGGTCCTTATCTTCTGAGGAACTCAAAAGTTAGAGGGTATTTTTAGGATAATGAGTACAATGGGTCTTCAGACTGTGGACCTGAAGACTTAGAATTGGCCTAAAGAAGGTTATAGTCAGGCTACAATCTCAAGATGACTTAACCCTGTAGGTGTGCCCCAAACTTGCTTTCTATGTGTGTCACCAAAATGAGGACTAAAGCAGTTCAAATGCTCCATGAGCAGGAGGAAGCTGTGGGATGATAGGGAGGGTCCCCACAAAGCCTGGAGCCTCGTCAGCATCAGAAACCACAGAAAACCAGGTCAGTGCGTGGGGCCTGCTCCCTCAGCTCCAGGGCTCAGCTATGAGTTCTGGGGCTTCCTGAACAGACAGTACTGATTAGAGGATCCTTGAAGCTGGAGGTCCCTTTGGCTTGGAGCCCTTTGCCCAGAAGAGCTGGGTGGAGAGAGGAAGCTAGTCTATAGTCCTGAGGGTCACCCAGGTAGGGAGCAGGAGGAGTATGGGAGCATGTGCGATTTATATGCATCCTGTAATGACTTTTTGTTGTTCTGTTCAACTCTAAGTGGTGCCTTCGTCACCATTGTCTCCAGGCCCCATTGCAGAACAGTGCTTAAAAGCTCTATTGATTCTCTAAGTGAGGGGATGTAGCATGTCTCCAAGGAAGCTCCCAAGTCCAAGAGCGGTAGTGGGCGGGTGTTGCGGCAGTAGGAGGGGTTAAGAAATAGGTACAGCCCTCCATCCTCCCAACCCTGTGCTGGCCTCTTTCCTGTTATTTCTCTGCCAGAGCAGGAGCCCCTTGCCCTCCAGGTGGGGGCAGTAGGATTTGGGGCAGGGGGCGGGGGTGGGGGGGGGTGGGTGGCGCGAGCAAGTGTCCCTCCGGCCCTCCGCTAGGGGAAGGAATGTGGCCTGGCTGGCTGGTTAGGATCTAGGATCGAGGAGGAGCTTTGGGGCAGGGCGGGGCAGTGGCAGGCTGAGGCGTGGGCTCCTGCTCCCTGAACTCTCTGCTACTGAACAGCAAGTCCCTGCCATCCTTCAGGCTGTGCAGCCATGTTCTGGGGGCTCTGACCCCACGGAAGTCCATGGGGAGCCCCAGACTGGCAGCCCTGCTCCTGCCTCTCCTGCTGCTCATTGGCCTCTCTGCCTCCTCTGGGATTGGCTGCCCCTATCTTCTGCACTGGAGCACCCACTGTCTGCTGGCCTCCCACATGGTAAGATACCCCCACTGCCCAGTGGGGACAGCTGCCTGCCACAGGCTGGTAAAAGTCCCCACTCTTCGGCCTGTCCTCTTCTGCCTTCCAAGTCCCCGTGCCCTGGTGACAGCCCCAGTGTGTCGTTTATATGGTCTCAAAGGGGTAGCCAAGGTTCTGGTGTGCTGAGGGCCTGGGCAGGGTTGAGCTAGAAAGAAAAGAGCTAGAGTGGATGGGCTATTAGCTTATGGACCTTAGAATTAGGTGATTTGAACCAAAGACCTCAGGGAGAATGCCCCCCATGGGAATCTCTACTAATAATTCTTCTCTCTTTTCTTACCCTTACTGGGCCCTGTGCCTTCAGGAAGACGCACTCACTGGTGAGTCTCATTCCCTGCCCTGATTCTCTTCTTTGTCCCTTTTGTTCCAGATCCCTAATGAGCTAGTCATTTTTGTTCCCAAATTGGGAAGTAGCATAACAAGGAAAAATCACGGGGTTTAGAATCAAGACAAGCCTGGATTTGCATTGCGGTTCCACCACATACTCCACATGTGGCTGCAAGCAGTGCCCTTAGTCCCTCTGACTCTCCATTTCTGAGGGGTAGAGCAGTGCGGTAGAAATGATGGTACCATGAAAACTGTTGCCCCTGGGCTGAGGGGAGGATTAAATGAGAGACAGAGGATAATCTCTCTCCCTTAACTGATCCCTCATTCCTGTCGGAGATACAACACTCCTTCATATCTTATGGTACATTCTGGTTTACAAATCATTTTCCCACATATTATCTTACTTGATCTTGACAACAGTCCTACTTTATGAATGAGGAAGCTGAGGCTTAGAGAGATCCGTCACTTGCTCAAAGCCACACATCTCAGTCTCAAGTGCAACTTGTCTGAGGCAAGAGGGACCTTCTTGGACCCTATCATTTGATTTTCTTATCATCCTTCCCAGGAGGGTCTGCTCATATTCCTTGCCATACCCAGTTGGCCCTTCCTGTGTCTCTAAAGTCCTGGTGTGCTCAGCTCTGGCTCCCCGCCTGCTATTTGCACCTGCATCTGATGTCAAATCCTTCAGGTATGAGAAATAGCCCTTTGGGCCCTTCTCAGTGGAGATGGGAATTAGGAGCATTGGGGGGGGGGGTGGGGGGCGGGGGGCGGCAGGCTGAGGAAAGTGGGACTTATCATCCTAGAACAGATGTCTGTCCTATTGTCAACCTCAACAGAGACAGGTCATCCTAAAATAGCATAGCATGACTGATATTCATGGGTTCACTTTTATCATTTTGTGAAGGTGTTTCTCCTTTCCACTGGTACCAATTCTTGGCATTAAAATGTTTTAGTTCTGTGAGTTTCCTATTATTACCTTCTATTCACAAAGTAAGATCTTTCTTAATTCAAGTCTGTATTTTAATTGCCTAGCTTAGTGCCTGGCACATACTAAATGCCCAGACACTGTTTAACAATTGGCAGTTTCTAATTTTTCACTGCTGTAAATAATGCTACAGTGGACATCTTTGCATATATATAGCTTTTTCTCTACCTAAGGAATTAATCCTTTTTTGACTATATCATAATTTTTAGGACTAAAGAAGCTTGATATCACTACCCTCCATGATCTCAAATGACTTCCTGCCTAACATCAGGCCACACTTCCAGGTAGGGGAGGGGCAGTGAAGGGCTGGATAGTCAATGTGTCCTTTCCTGCGCAGACCTCCAGGGGGGCTGGATCCACTTCCTGGTGCAGAAATACAAAAAGTCATACAAGTTCCGGTTCTGTAGGAGACACAAGATGCCAGCATCTGCTCAGGTACTCCCCCTGCCAGTTGCAGCCCTGCCTTATACCTCACAGCCCTTTCCTTTCTGGCCTTTCATTTTGTTCTCTAGCCACATGAGAGATAGAGAACATGGTGATGAAGTAGACTATTCTGTCTGTTACACAGTTAGGGAAACTGAGGTCTAAAGGTTGAGCAACTTGCCTGTGGTACCCCAGGTTCCAGAAGCAGTAATAGAAGCCCGATTCCTGGCCTAAGGCCAACCCTGTTCTCTGCCTACAGAGGGAGCTGCTGAATAGCTGTTGCCTGTCTGAGAAGGGTCATCACATTGCTGTCCCCTTCCCAGACATCTCTCACAAGGGATCACGCTCTAAAAGGACCCAACCTTCATATGCAAAGGCAATGGAAGGTCTCCCCAGACCCAGCTCACAAAGGCATGGAGGTAGGCATGGGGTATGACCAGAGATGGGTGCAGCCAAGTAATGGTGACTGCGCTAAGGCCAAGAGACAAGACTACCAGTTCTCCTTCTCCCCAGGGCCAGAGTTCTCCTTTGAATTGTTGCCTGAGGCACGGGCTATTCGAGTGACCATTCCCCCGGGACCCGAGGTCAGCGTGCGTCTTTGTCACCAGTGGGCACTAGAATGCGAGGAGCTGAGCAGTCCCTTCGAGGCCCAGGTTTGGAGTGTTGTCTCCCTTTGAAAAACCAGATCACACAGCACTGCAGCAAAAAGGACCTCTCTGTTGTATACATGGGGAGACTGAGGCCCAGAGAGGGACAGTAATTGTTTATGACCTTACTACATTTCTGAAGTGCCTAGCATTAAGCCTTCTTTGGATTAGACAGAAAATGCAGAAGGGAAAGGGCAGACAGAGACACCTGGAGCAGCCATGAACGCCTAGCAGAGAAATGAATATGGCATTTATCCCCAGTGAGAAGACCGTTAATGAGATTCAGGTTGCACTAAGAAGGCTTTTCAATCCCTGCCCCCCCTGCCAGGAAGTGGTCACATCTGTCTTGGTACCCTTCCATCTCCTTCCTTTTGTTGCTGCGCCTCAGAGAATGAGTTGTTCCCCATTCACTCAACCTGGGCCCTGATACCCCACTTGAACCTCCAGTTGTTGTGGATGCCCTTGTATGCACTTGGTATCATTTGCAGGGAATGAGGCTATACCTCTGATTCCCTCAGCTCTCTTCATTTATAAAAACAAAGATCATCTTAGATGCTGGCATTTAATTAATCGAGTTAATGCTTCTAGCACCTACCTGGCATAGAGTAGGGTCTCCAGAAATGTATAATCCTTTCCCTATTTCCTCCCTTTCCCCACTCCATATATTGAGATACCCAGAGCAAATAGACTACAGAGCAGGGACCTCCCTCCTCCCTGGGAGGAAGTTTCTTGGTGAAAGAAATAACTCTCCTATAAGAGGAAAAATGGGGGGTGTTGGCCAAGGTCCCAGCTTCCTGCTGCCCTTGTCCAGGGTGCCTAAACTCTTTCGGCAGGCACCTCTTCACTCCTTTTGCTGCTTTGTCAACAGAAAATTGTGTCTGGGGGCCATGCTGTAGACCTGCCTTATGAATTCTTTCTGCCGTGTCTGTGCATAGAGGTGAGCAGAGGAAAATGTATGGGTTGTCCATGGCTCCAATCCTAGGACTCCTAGAGGCACAGTTGGTCAAGCATATCTCCACTAAGTCAGGCCTTAAAAAGACTGGGTATTGATGAGATGCTTGGGAAGACTGCTACCAACTTGACTGTGAGCCACACACTGGGTCAGAGATGGAAGTGTCCTGCTGAACATGGGACATTTTGGGGGGTGATTCCAACTTAGTCCTACCCAAACCCAGCTTTCCCTGGTTCAGACTGGCCTCATCCCACAGAGACAGAATACACAGTTGCCTTCGCTGTGTGTTCTGAAGAGTCACAGTGGAGGCACATGTGGCCACTGCAAGGTTTCATGTGGCTCCAAAAGTCTTGTCCCCATAAGTTCTCCATAGCAGCTCTCCAATCCTTATGAAGCTGAGGTGCCTGGCGTTAAGATTTATTTGAACTAAACAGAAAACTCAGGGGACCTTGTTAACCAGGAGGAGACAAAAGGGAAGGTTCAGGCAGATACCTGAGGCAGAAAGCAACAGCCAGGGTGTTTGGGCAGTCCAGGGGAAGGGGTCCACACAGCGCACCGGACACCTTGGGAATCACTGAGGGCAGAAGCCAGGGAAGCCAAAAGTGGAGGAACATGGACCTCTCCTCTTTCTGGGGAGGATAGGTTCTGCTCTCCAGGGAGAAGAGGACTCAACCCCAGCCCCATACTTACTGGTCTTGCTCCTGTACTCTGGTCACACACCACTTACCCTTGCCCATACACTGCCCTGCTTCCCCTCATCCATGCTCTGCCAGCTCAGGCAGCTTGCATCAGGGAAGGGTCAAGCCAGAATGAGTTTCAGATATGAGTGATACAGGAAAAGCCATTCCTATGACCTTCCCTGACTGCTCTCCCCTGTCCCCGCAGGCATCCTACCTGCAAGAGGACACTGTGAGGTGCAAAAAATGCCCCTTCCAGAACTGGCCTGAAGCCTGTAAGTGCTGTACATATGCACTCTTGTGTATTCACAGCCTCTCTCTCTCTCTTACACACACACACACACACACACACACACACACACACACACACACACACACACTTTGCACCTATGCTGTGGAGGAAGCCCCAGAAGCCATGCAGGCACTTTCCATGGAGTTGGTGGGGGAAAAGGGCTATCACATCTACCAATCAGCCTGCCAATATATCAGTATTGAACATTGTATTAGGCACTGTGAGAGGTTCAGAAATATGAGACCCAGCAGGTGGTGTCCTAAGAGGATGGACCAGAAATCTTGGGGTCACATCCCACTTATTCTCTGAGTCTCAGTTTCTTCGTCAGTAAAGTAGTGATACCTTCCCTGCCTTACTTTCCAACTGTTGAGGAAATGAATCTTGAATTCAATATTTATGTGAAAGTGGTTGGTGATGTCTAAAATGCTGTATATATGTTATTATCCCCAAATTAAAGAGACAGGACCCTGAAACATAATAAATGAGAAGCACAAAGCAGCCTACAGTCCAAGCCATTGTTATAATTAAGGATTAGGCTGTAGATCATGAACTCAGGAAAGGGAGAATCCCACGCAGGCTGTCTGAGCAGAGAAGGTCTCTTATAGAAGATGACACCTGAGGTGGGCTCAGAAAATGGGAAGGATTTTATTTTTTTTAATATTTATTTATTTTTAATAGAGAAAGAGAGAACAAGTGGGGGAGGTGCAAAGAGAGAGGGAGACAGAGGATTTGAAGCAGTCTCCATGCTGACAGCAGAGAGCTGAATGTAGGGCTTGAACTCACAAACCATGAGACCACAACTGAGCCAAAGTTGGATGCTCAACCAACTGATGCTCACCCAAGCAGGATCCCCATGGGCAGGATGTCAAAAGGAAATCTGTGGGCAGGATTTCAAAAGGAGAATAGGGAGGGGAACATTCCTGGTTCTAAGAGGAACCTAAGCAAAAATATATGGATTTTGAGTTTGGGTAGCAGCAGGGAGCTGGCCAGAATGGAGGCACAGGAAGGAGAGGAGACAGTTTAAGTAGAAAAGGTCATAAAAGGTCTGGAGAAGGCGTGCTCATTTATTGGGTACCTGGACATTCCAGCAACTCTGCTGGCTGTCTTCAAAAAGTCATCCCCTGCTGCTCTGGGGATTGGGGTGCAAAGTGAGGCTGAGGCTGAAGCAGGGCCTAGGCCTCCCCAGGCCTCACTCTCTGCCCCTGCCTGCCGCCTACCCAGATGGCTTGGACTTCTGGAAGTCAGTGCACTTTACTGACTACAGCCAGCACAGTCAGATGGTCATGGCTCTAACACTCCGCTGCCCACTGAAGCTGGAGGCCTCCCTCTGCCAGAGGCAGGGCTGGCATACCCTCTGTGAAGACCTCCCCAATGCCACGGCTCGAGAGTCACAGGGGGTGAGACAGGCCTGCCCAGGACTTGAGTGGGCAGGGCTAGGGCCCAGGGCTCTGCTCCCTGACTAACTCCTTTCTCCTACCACAGTGGTATGTTTTGGAGGGAGTAGACTTGCACCCCCAGCTCTGCTTCAAGGTACAAGCATGGGTGACAGGGGATGGGGAAGGGTATGGGTGGTGCCTAGAGCTTGCTGACTTGCCATTCTTGGATTTCTCAGTTCTCTTTTGGAAATAGCAGCCACGTTGAATGCCCCCGCGGGACTGGTGAGCCAATAAATGACCCTTTTGGGACCCCCTTCCACCGCTTAACCCTTACCCAACTGTGACCAAGCCAGACTCTAGCCCTGCCCTGACTTCTCTATCAACCACAACCCAGCTCCTACCACTTCCTACAAACAGAATGTCTTGTATTATGCTCTTTCCCACCCTGGCAGCCCCATCCTGGAATGTGAGCATGGATACCCAGGCCCAGCAGCTGGTCCTTCACTTCTCCTCGAAGATGCACGCCACCTTCAGTGCTGCCTGGAGCCATCCAGGCTTGGGGCAGGACAGCTTGGTGCCCCCTGTGTATAGCATTAGCCAGGTATGGCCTAGTAGCCAGGGTTTGTCCCCCACCCCCACCCAAGGTCGTGTTGCTAGGAGCACAGCAGGTGGAGGCAAGCAAATCTCTGACTTACATCATGTGATTATTTGTTTACTTGATCAGCCTTTGTTGGCTGGTTTCTCTGCCAGTCAGCAGGGTCTTTAATGGGGCAGTGTCTAATCCATTTAGTTTCTGAACTTCCAGGGAATAAACAGAGGCAAGAGGCTGACCCTCTTACATCCAGCTGTCTTCTGACCCGGTCAATCTGCTGCCACATTTTATACCAATGCCCTCTCTGGAAACCCCTGTCCTCTTCCCCTGTGTTCCTGCTTGCCTCCACAAGGCACTTGGCAGAAGTTCCCTGTCTTGGGAGACAGAGTCCCTGGAAGCTAAAGTCCTTTTTGCAGAATACTGTAAACCACTGACAGATTTAACTCTATTATGTGAACTGAGAACAGTTTGACTAGCAGACTTTCTTCTGAGGATCTAAAATAAAAACCGTAATAAAATATATCCCCCAAACCATAGCACCAATCTGACTAAGCATGGTCAGCTTTTTCCAATTCTTTCTTAAATGCTCACTTGCAGCTTGGTTACTTGTTTTGTATTCTATGAGGGCTCCCAGGCAGACAGATGGTAGCAAATGTTTAAGATTTAACACCAAGCCATGCTTAAGATTTAAGACAAAGTCACATGGGATAACCTAAGACTGAGTTCTAAAGCCATGGACTCATCTCTCTCTGTGAGCTGGCGAAAGAGCAACTTCACTGAGTTCAGCCTGGTTTGAGAGTCACTGTGTCAGCATCTGCTGACATCTGGCTGGCGAATGGGGTCTAGGACAGAGGTGGTACAGGGGTTGGAGGTGGAGAGAGTTTCCAAAAGATGGAGACTCTGGTCAACTCCCTAACCAGCACCCAGAATGTAGGGTGGAGCCATACCCTGCCTGTAAACAGATGGCAATCAATTCTGTCCAGTTTAACATGTATTTATTACATACCTTCTCTGTATCTACCCTGTATTAGACTCTGGGAGCTACAAGAAAAGTATTTTACACAGTCTCTGCCCCTAAGGAGTTCAGTATTAAATGAATACACACTACACTGTGGAAGATAGAGGGTGTTCACATGCACACTCACATGTGATGCTCTCAATAACCTGGTAAAATAAAGATTACTAGTCCTCATATATAAATGAAGAAACTGAGGGTCAGGGAGAGAGGTAACCTATCTCCATGCAAAGATCACACAGCTAGGAACCACAAAGGCAAGAGTTAAGCCTGACTTTTTAAAATTGTGGTCTTCTGACTTCACAACTTAGGTTCTTTCCCATGGACAAACCATCCCCTCAGACATGTGGGACAGAGAAGGGAGGCAGGGTATAATTAGCCTCCTTGGTTTGCGAGCTGCTGGAGGACAGAGATAACATCTGTGTCTTCTTTCCTCAGGGCTTGACACAGAGTAGGCACCCATAGTATGTTTGTTGATGAATGCCTGATCGCCTGATTAATATGTATCTGTTCAGTGGTTCAGATCCAGGAATGATCACAGCAGGATCTGAGAATGAAGCAGGGGGAAGACTTTTTTGTCAGCAGTGGCACTTGGCCTTAAGCCTGGGTAGGATTTGGGTGGGGGTAGAGGGGAGTAGAAAGGAGGAAGAGCATGGGCTAAGACTCAGACTGGACAGAGCCAGATGTGACTCTATGGGGATAGTCATTCTGTTCTTTGTTCCCACAGACTCAGGGGTCAAGCCCAGTGACGCTAGACCTTATCATTCCCTTCCTGAAGCCAGGGAGCTGTGTCCTGGTAAGGAATCTTACCCTCACTCTGCACATTCCCCCTTAGCATCTACTCTTCAGGGGGCACATGGGGCAAATCCAGTCTGCAAAAATGTTTGGTTTGGCCAACATGGTGTTTGAAATTGGAATTAGTTGCCACCATTTAAATATTGGAGAGTTCATATTTTAAAAAGCTGATTTCTGGCTTCTCCTCGAAAATCAGAAAACCTGGTACTGTGTCCACATTCAGGCATGGTGACAATGGGCTTGAGCTCAGTGGCATCTGATTACTTCATTCAGGGCCTGTGCCCTCCGGGTCCTCATGGACACCCTGGCCAACTTTGAGTTTATTTTTTGAGTTTGCCACTCTTGACCTGTTGTGTGCCCAGCCAGGGCTGGACCAAACACACCCTGTGCTGGAGAAATTCCCTATCCAGGGGAACTCCCCTTCTGTCCCCATTCAACTTCCCCTGGGAGGAGGGGCCACCCTGGCTTACAGGGATGTGGGGGCTCTGTGCCTTCAGGTGTGGAGGTCAGATGTTCAGTTTTCCTGGAAGCACCTTTTGTGTCCGGATGGTGAGTTCTTGGGAGAGTGGGGTGGGGTAAGAAGGAGGATGGGCACTGAGGACCCGGGCTTGGCCTCACGCTGCTTGACTCAGTCTCTCATAGACACCTGGGGCTCTTGATCCTGGCACTGCTGGCACTCACCATCCTCTCGGGCATTGTTCTGGTCCTCACTCGCCGGCGCCCACTGTCAGGTAAGCACACTCGGGGGTAACCTGAGGATTCAGATCTGCACAACGTCTAGGCTGGTTGCCCCCCACCCTTCCCCTGCTTAGACTCCCTTCTCGGATAGTCAGGTCCGTGCTGCTGCACCAAGCTCTCTGCTACCCAGGGTGGGGAGCCTCAGGCCCCCTAGTGGTCAGGAATGGTTAAAGCAGAACAAAGGTCCCTCTGTGCAGGTGGTTACTGTTAAGAGTCTCTGCTCACGAGACTATTGGGGCGGAAATCCAGCTTGCTCTGCACCTGCCAAACCTGGCACCTAGACTTGGCCCCTTCTAGGGAGCTTTCATCTTATTAGCCCAAAGGCACAGTATAGGCTAAAGTTGCCTTGGGTACCCATCCACAGCGTAGATAAGGAGCTAGGTTCCTACATCATAGGCACCCTATGATGTAGCCCCAAGGTGGGGAGTGGGGGAGGGGAAGTGCTGGGGTGTCTCTTACCCCCGCCCCCCACCTTGTTCATCTGCTCCCGCCCCCAGGCCCGAGCCACGCGCGGCCGGTGTTGCTGCTGCACGCGGCGGAGTCAGAGGCGCAGCTGCGCCTGGTGGGAGCCCTGGCTGAACTGCTTCGGGCAGCGCTGGGCGGCGGGTGCGACGTGATCGTGGACCTGTGGGAGGCTACGCGCGTAGCGCGCGTGGGCCCGCTGCCGTGGCTGTGGGCGGCGCGGGCGCGCGTGGCGCAGGAGCAGGGCACCGTGCTGCTGCTGTGGAGCAGTGCCGACCCCAGTCTGGCCGGTGATCCCGATTCCGGCGCAGCGCCCCTGCGCGCCCTGCTCCGCGCGGCCCCGCGCCCGCTGCTGCTGCTCGCTTACTTCAGTCGCCTCTGCGCCAAGGGCGACATTCCCCCGCCACTGCGCGCCCTGCCACGCTACCGCCTGCTGCGCGACCTGCCGCGGCTGCTGCAGGCGTTAGATGCGCTACCTTCCACCGAAGCCGCCAGCTGGGGCCGCCTCGGGGCTCGTCCGTGCCTGCAGGGTCGCCTGGAGCTGTGCCGACGGCTGGAACGGGAGGCCGCCAAATTTTGCCAACTGAGGCTGAGCAGAGACAGGCGTAGGGGTACTGGCTGGAACCCCTGAATGAGCCTTCTACCCTTGAATCCTTGGGGTGCCACCTCGGGACTACTGGCCAAAAATCCTTACGCTGTCTGCCAACCTGGGAGCAGAGCACCTCCCTCACTGCCCCAGCCCCTTCCCCACGTGTGCCTGGCTTCTTCCTTAGGATTACCCTTTCAGAACCAGCACGGAGAGTTGGTCTTTACTGAGGGCTCCACCGACCCCAGTCCTGTGGGGGTGGGGGAATCTTCCCACTTCTCTTCAAAATTCCGGAAAGAGTATTTTGCACATGAACCAGTCCAGGCTGGAGAGGTTGTGGGACAGGGGTAGAGGAGGCAGGAGCTATGGCAGTTCTGAGCGAGGGATGACTTCAGGGGGTGGGAGAAAACCCCTTTCTGAGCCAGGATACTGCTTTCCCAGACTGGAGCCCAGCCCAGAGGAGGATGGAGGGAGAGAGAGAGCCTGATCAGGGAAAGAGGTTTCAGCCTTGAGTGGCCAGGACACAGGTGTGACTAAGATCAAGAAAAATAAATAAAGGTGAATATAATGGATAAGCTAAGAGACACAATGTGCTTCTCTACTGTGCTCAGGATGCTGAGTTGGAGGGAGGGTCAGCACAGCCCTGCCTGGGGGTTGTTATGCATCAGTTTGTGGGCCCAAACCCTGCGTGTCCACACCTACAACCACATATTTCACATTCTCACAAGCAATGCCTCTGAAAAGGCAAAGGAGGACCTGGAAATTCTCACTGTGAACAGGTTCAGGAAGGTGCATTTGTCATGTAGCCAGTGCATGACAACAGCACAAATGGGGCTCCCTGTCTGCCTGGCTCTGAGTTCCTTTCCTCCATACCACACTTGAGCAGAGGCCAGGAAGTGGTGAAAAGCCCACTTTCTGGTGCTCTTCGTCCCTGCCTTTAGAGCTCCTGTCCCACAAAGGGTCACTAAGTCCCAGGGAGTATGTGAGAAGGGACCTGGAGTGCCCAGTATGAGGAGATTCAATAGGCACCAAAATCCCAGATTCACGTGGCAAGTGGAAATGCCCTAAGATTGCCCAGGCCCTCTTCCTTAGGGACTCCCAGGGTGAGTAAGAGCTCCCTTACTCAGCTGTGACTCTTCAGGGGCCCCTCCCAGCTAGGTGTCAGAGGAGGAGGAGGAGGGGGAGGAGGAGGAGGAGGAGGAGGAGAGGGAAAGAAGGAGGTGAGGCCACCACCCCAGTCCAAGGCTGCTGGCTCCCAGGCCTGGTGTTGGTGGGAGGGACAGGGCGGGGCGGGAACAGCCAGCTGCCTGCCGGGAGCCAAAACGAAAGCACTCTGGCTGGGTCTGGGACGGCATTCAGGACTCCCAGGAGAGGGAGTGCTCAAGCCCGCACTGGGACCCCAGGCTGAGGAGGGATTCCAGCCCCTCCTGGGGCTGAGTGGGAATAAAGGTACCGTGTCTGCCCCCCCCTCTGGGGGGGGGCAGGACAGGGCCTTGGGCCTTGGTGCCTTCTGGCACCTGGAAGATGCCTGTGCCCTGGTTCCTGCTGTCTTTGGCACTGGGCCGAAGCCCCATGGTCCTCTCTTTGGAGAGGCTTGTGGGGCCTCAGGATACTGCTCGCTGCTCTCCGGTAAGTCTGGGGCACTGGGAGTGTTGGGGAAGGCTCAGGGTTCAGTCTGCGGCCCATTGGGGCCCTAGCCTGGCTCCTGTCACTGTCACTACTGCCAGAACTGCCCTGGCTGGTCTGTCTGGTGCTGATGGGTTAAGAGAAGAATGGGGAGGGGGCAAGCGTTGAGTTTGTCTTCTCCTGGAAGGGACTTGAACAAGGAGCCCCGGAAAGGTGGGCAGGGATCTCAGGCAGGGAAAAATGGCTACATTCGGTGGCATAAACTCTAACTCGTCTTTACCTTCTCCCCAGGGCCTTTCCTGCCACCTCTGGGGTGAGTAGCCCTACTTTTAGAAATAAAAGAACTGCCCAGGTTGGCGGAAGGGATGTTCCAGTCCCATGCCTTTCACCACCCACCTTAAGCCCAGGAAGAGCCCAAAGCCCCTTGGCCCTCTGGGGGTGTCAGGTACAACTACCCTATGGGTTCTGAACAGCTTTAGCTCTCAGTCTGCCCTTTATGCACAGATGGTGACGTGCTCTGCCTACCTGGGAGCATCGTGTCTGCCCCAGGCCCTGTGCTGGTGCCCACACGCCTGCAGACAGAGCTGGTGCTGAGGTGCTACCAGGAGACTGACTGTGACCTCTGTGTGCGAGTGGCCATCCACTTGGCTGTGCATGGTGAGCATGTCATCCCATAACTGTGTGTGTTCCCATGTGAGTGTGTCTGGGATGGGCACAAGGACTGGGGAGTCTGGCAGGCAGTCCTGTGCATCCTTAGTGTTCTCCTGGAAAGCACTGGCCAAAAGATCCCCATGTCAGCCTGGTCTCTCTGTCTACCCACCCCCCCGCCCCCCCCTCCCTCCCCCCAGGCCTGGCCCCTGCTTCTCAGCACTGGGCTTTCTGGAATGAAGCCAAGCCCAAAGCCAGCCCAGAGCTGGGGCCTGAGCTGGGTCTTGCTCTTGGGCCCTTCTAGGGCACTGGGAAGAGCCTAAAGGTGAGGAAAAGTTTGGAGGAGCAGCTGATCCAGAGCTTGAGGAGTCTAGAAACGGTGAGGAGAAGATGGCTGACCCAACTGCCCCTTGCCACGGCCTTGCCCATGGCCCCTGGGCCTGACCAAACCCCTGCCCTGTTGCTCACAGCCTTTCTCCAGGCCCAAGTCGTGCTCTCCTTCCAGGCCTACCCCACCGCCCGCTGCGTCCTACTGGAGGTGCAAGTGCCTGCTGCCCTTGTGCAGCCTGGTCAGTCTGTGGTATGCAAAATAATGATAATACCAATAGCCATCTTCTAAATATGACATCTGTGAGGCGCTGTCATGTGCATTAGCTCTGTTTGCTGATGGCAAGGCTGTGGGCAAGCCCTTTCAGCCCTTTGTGCCTCAGTGTTCCAGTCTGTACAATGGGAATAAGAATAGTCCTACTTCATATGGCTGTTGTGAGAAATAGATGAGTTGGTATGTGTAAAACACCTGATGTAATGCCCAGCAGTAAAGGGTCTCAGGAAGTTTAATTTTCCCTTTCTTGTGTACTCCTTAAAAGTACCCATGGGGGTACCTAGGTGGCTCAGTTGGTTAAACGTCTGACTCTTGATTTTGGCTCAGGTCATGATCTCATGGTTCAGTTTGTGGGATCGAGACCCATGTTGGGCTCTGTGCTGACAGCGCGCAGCGCAGAGCCTGCTCAGGATTCTCTCTCCTCTCTACCCTTCCCGTGCTCACCTGCTCTCTCTTTCTCTCTCTCAAAGTAAATAAACTTATTAAAAAAAAAAAAACAGAGGCGCCTGGGTGGCGCAGTCGGTTAAGCGTCCGACTTCAGCCAGGTCACGATCTCGCGGTCCGTGAGTTCGAGCCCCGCGTCAGGCTCTGGGCTGATGGCTCAGAGCCTGGAGCCTGTTTCCGATTCTGTGTCTCCCTCTCTCTCTGCCCCTCCCCCGTTCCTGCTCTGTCTCTCTCTGTCCCAAAAATAAATAAACGTTGAAAAAAAAATTAAAAAAAAAAAAAAAACACCCATGAGCGAGGCATTATTATTACCCTTATTTTCCAGAGAGAGAAACTGAGGCTTGGCGAGAGGAAGTCTGTGGGCTGGATCTAGTTCTTGGACTTCCTGCTGTACCATGTCTGCTCCGTGTACATACTGTGGTGCAGAGTGTTGGAGCTTCTTCCTACCTCAGGAGGCCACATGTGTTTGGAAGATATATCTCCACCCCGGGCCAAATCACTCAAGCCTTTTGACTTCCCCTCCAGCCCCCAGCTCCCAGCCAATATCCTCTTGCCTGGAAAGTTACAGAATCGGAGAACATCTGCTGGCCCACCTCAATGGGCAGTCATGAGGACCCCTGAGGCACTGGGTGTGAGAAGGGGTTTCTGATCATCTTAGCTTTGACCACGTGATGCAGGACAGCAGGGTTGGGCACAGGGACTCAAATAGCTAGGGCCCTTATCCCTGCCCTGCTGACACCCCTACTGAGGGGGTGTGCTTTAGAACTGGGAGCCTTTTTTTTTTTTTAGTTTAGAATTGAGGGCCTTTCGGGGCGCCTGGGTGGCGCAGTCGGTTGAGCGTCCGACTTCAGCCAGGTCACGATCTCGCGGTCCGTGAGTTCGAGCCCCGCGTCAGGCTCTGGCTGACGGCTCAGAGCCTGGAGCCTGTTTCAGATTCTGTGTGTCTCCCTCTCTCTCTGCCTCTCCCCCGTTCATGCTCTGTCTCTCTCTGTCCCAAAAATAAATAAACGTTGAAAAAAAAATTTAGAATTGAGGGCCTTTAAAGGAAATGTTAATGGGAGAATTTCAGGCTATACAGTATAGCATCATTGGTTGGGGAAAGGGATGAGTGGAGTGGTCCATGGACAGGAGCTCAGAGCCCTTGGCCTGTATTCTGAGCCCTATACCACCAGCCTTCTGCCACCCCTCTCCTCACAGGGTTCTGTAGTATTTGACTGCTTCGAGGCTGCTCTGGGGGCTGAGGTGCGAATCTGGTCCTACACTCAGCCCAGGTACCAGAAGGAACTCAACCTCACCCAGCATTTGCCTGGTAAGTGGCTCCAGGTCCTGCCCCACTGCCCCCAGTCTCTTTGTCTGGCCACTGCCATTCTGCTTTTATCCCCTTCCTTGTCCCATCTGTTCTCAGGCAGGTGTCTGAGCTCCTATCTTCCCCGGGGTCTATCCCTCTTGTCTCCTCTCCCCAGGTGATACTGCTTCCCAGTGTTTGAGGAAGGTGCTTTGGGCCCTGGATAGATGGGGTGGTATTTAGGGGAAGGGAGTCCTTCCCAGTGCTCCCCATGGGTCAGACCACTCCTCTTCTTTCTTTGTCCCCCAACCCCACTGGTGGCTTTTCTGTGATCTCTCCCCAGACTGCAAGGGGCTGGAAGTCCGGGACAGCATCCAGAGCTGCTGGGGTATGATGGACTATGGCCAACGGGGCTGGAAGGAGGGAGGGACAGGGTCTGGTGTGTGAGGGACCCTTGGAGGTGGCTTCAGGTCTGGGCTTGCCACAGTCCAAATGCTCACAGAGCTCATTTAATTCATCACACATGAACTGCAGTAGCTCCTACTCTGTGCCAGGCATTGGGACTATGAAGATGAATCTCCCTTATGACAAATTTATTTATTAGTACCAGGGACATCTAGAGGCCCAAAATGTTGTCAAGATTATGGTACCCTCCCCCCACATACACACCATATATCAAGATAACAATAATGTTAAGCCATAAAATAAGGGCTAAGAAAGTCAAGGCTCTGATGGTTTTTCCCAGGTACTACTTGAATTTTGTTTTTGCTTTGTTCATTTTTTTTTTTTTTGAACTGGGGTATAACATACATACAGAAAAGTATGTAAAGAGCACTGATTTTAAAGTCCAGTTCACTTAATTTTTACATATGTATACACTTGCATAACTACCACCCACGTCAAGCTATAAGCAGTGATGTTCTTGAGCTCTTAAATTTTTTCAATTTTATTTCCCTTTTGGCTCCTTAACTTAACTTTGGCCTGTCTCTTTGGTAATTCATTAGAAACTACTCAGCACCAGAGCTTTGAGGCCACAGATACACATCATGCATTTCATATCTTCATTCATTCAGCAATGATTCACTTATTCAGCAGATATTTATTGTGTGATTACTCTGCCCATGGAATAGTCCTAGGCACTGGAGATTAATTGGTAAACTAAACTGACAAAGATCCCTGCCTTCACAGAGCTGACATTCTAGCTGGGAGTCAGGGTCAAGGTAGGGGTGATGGAGGACACAATAAACACAAGGAAATGTGAAATATGCAGTAAGTTAGCTTGATTAGTGTTTTGGAGAACATTTGGGGAGGGGAAAGGAGGATAAGGAGGTTGGGGGTTGCAGCAGTCAGGGTTAGCCTCACTCTAGTGAAAAAAGACCCAAAGAAGTTATGGAAGGAGCCATATGGGTGTCTGAGGGAAAAGGGTTCCATATGCAGAGAGAACAGCCAGTACAAAGAGCCTGGAAGCAGGAGTGTATCTGGTGTGTTTAAGTAGAGAGGGCAGGGTGTCTGCACTAGATTAATTAAGGACAAGAGTACTAGGAAATAAGTTAGAGTGGTCAGGGCAGCCAAATTGTGTAAGGTCTTGCAAGCCGTTATAAAGACTCTGGCTTTTACTCTGGAAGTAATTTGGGGGGTCATCAGAAGGTTCTGAGCAGAGGCTGATTTATCCTACAGTGGTTACAGGATCATTCTGGCTGCAGAGGGAGAAGAGTGTGTCAAGATACTGGGCTGGCTGCTGGGGACAAAGTCTGGTCTGAGATGAGGACACAGGCTCTGCCCTTTAGGGGCCTTCCAGTCTCAGGAATTTGAAGGAACTCCAAAGGGTCAGTCAAAGGGGTGTGACCAGGCTTGGGTATGTAAAAGAGGTGATGGAGGTCTCTGTCTCTTTGCCTCCCGCACAGCCCTGCCCTGGCTCAATGTGTCTGCCGATGGTGATGATGTGCACCTGGTGCTGGACGTCTCTGAGGATCAGCGCTTTGGCCTCTCGCTGTACTGGAACCAGGTCCAGGGTCCTACAAAACCCTGGTGGCACAGAAACCTGGTGAGGCCTCCCTGTCCCTAAGTCCATTCCCACTCTAGGCTGATGCCCATGCTAAGGATGTGAGTGCATTATCAAAAGGGACCCTTGAATACAACACAGTGACCCCCACCCAAAGCAAGGAATATTGGTGGGGGAATAGCTACTTGCCTGGTTTCCTCGACTTTGGCCTCCAGCCTTCCTCCTCCTCATCTCTCCAACTTTCCCCCTTCTGCTTGTCCCACAGACTGGGCCACAAACCATTACCTTGAACCATACAGATCTATTTCCCTGCCTTTGTATTCAGGTAAGAGAAGAGTCCAGCTAGATGCCAGGGGAAGGGTACTGGAGAATTAATGAGGGGGGTGCCCCTTACCTCCCTTGTCTTACCACCCTCCACTCTCTTCTTTGAGGTGGGAACTATTGCTCCCTAGGGTGACTAGCCCCCTCCTGACCTTTGCTGTCCTGTCTTCTGCCTGTTGCAGACTCTGGATGCTTTTCCTGATCCTCTATCCACAGGACTCCTACTTATGCTTCATGGCCCCATTCAAATGTCACCTCCTCCTTGAAGCCTTCCCCTACTCTTCCAATTGTCTCTTTGTGCTCCCCTGGAGGTAGAGAATGTGCTGTGAACTCAGACTGATTTGAATCCTGACTCTTGCCATTTGCTAGCTGTGTGACCTCATGCAAGTCACTTCACCTCTCTGAGCCCGTTTTTTGTCTGTAAAACGGGACTAACAATAACAACTTCATAGAACTCTTATAAAAGGAAGTATCCAGGCTTCTGTATGTTGGCTCTTCCCTCTTCTTCTTCTTCTTCTTCTTTTTTTTAAGATTTTATTTTTAAGTAATCTCTACACCCAGTGTGGGCCTCGAACTTACAACCCTGAGATCAAGAGTCACATGCTCTACCGACTGAACCAGCTTGGTGCCCCTCTTTCCTCTGAAAGATATCTGATTCTATGTCTAAATGGTCATCAGGTCCCATCTGTTTTACCTCTGACATTAATGTCTGTCATTCCCTCTACCTGAAATGCCCCACCCCCTTCTTTTCTGTATAATCAAATCCTTCCAACTCAAGTGCCACCTCTTTCCCAGAGCTTTACCTCAATTCCCTGGCCTCTCCTATCTTCCAGTCTTCTTGCACTTGTTATTCCTAGTCCATTTGTCACTTCCTTTCTTATTTGGGCACCTGTTTCACTTCTTCTTGCATATAACAGATGCTCAATAAATGAGGGATCAATTTATTAATATGTATATACATGTCTTATCCTTACTACAACTGAGAATTTGTAATTTCCTTGAAGGTAAGGAAATAGTACCTAATTCAAATTTAGTAACTCCCCCAGAGCCTTGCACAATGCCTGGCATGTAGTGGGTGCTAATTAAGCCTGTTAAAGGAATGAATGAATGAAACTCTCTAACTAGCACTGTGATAGGACACATAACAGACGTTCATGAAACGTTTGCTGTGATATAAACGTCCTTACTGCCATGCACAATGCCTGCTACATAGTGGGTGGTCTTAATTAAAAGTGTGCTGAGTAAATTAATGTATTATCTCTATATCTTAGCACAGGGCTAAGCAAAGAATAGATATGCTTTAAAAGTCTATTGAAAGAAATGGGGTGCCTGGCGGGCTTAGTTGATACAGCATGTGACTCTTGATTTCAGGGTTGAGAGTTCAAGCCCCACACTTCAGGTAGAGTTTACTAAAAAAAAATAATAATAAATAAATAAATAAATAAATACATACATACATACATACATACACACACACACACACACACACACACACACACACACACACACACATTTATGCGCTCCTGGAAGGAAGTAGAAGCCCGGGGGCCATATTTCCTGACCATATGCATTACTGTTTTTCTACAGAAGAGTATATATATTTTATTCTGAAAGAATAAATGAATGTGTCCTTAACACCTACCATACCACCTGGTACATAGTAGGTTCACACAAAGTGATCATGGATTTAATTATCAATGTTCCTAGTGCCTACCACAGTGCTAAGACACATAGTAGATACTCACTAAAAGTCTGTTGAATGAAGATGTTGCCAGATAATTGGCATAGAGCTTGCTGGAAGAATAAATGTGTGCAACTCTAGGACTTTGCAAAGGGCAAAAACACTGGACGAGTGTTTATGAAATATCAGTTGAATGAATGCATCCCCAGTGCGTAACAGAGGCTAGGCTCCTGGAGGGTCAACTCAGTTGAACTGACTTGTAGAACCCAGTTTCTTTTCCAGGTGTGGCCGCTAGAGCCCGACTCTGTCAGGACAAGCATCTGCCCCTTTAGGGAAGGTGAGCAAACTGGGGCTGGGGCCATGGTGGTAACAGTGCAGGTGGATGAGTTCTGGGTGCCCAGTGACCCAGCCCTCTCCTTGCAGACCCCCGGGCACATCGGAACCTCTGGCGTGCAGCCCGGCTGCAGCTGCTGCCCCCGAGGGGCTGGCGGCTAGATGCACCCTGCTCGCTGCCTGCTGAGGCCACTCTTTGTTGGCAGGCACCAGGCGGGGGCCCCTGCCAGTCGCTGGTCCCGCCACTGCCACCAGCAAATGTCACTGTAAACGTAAGTGAAGCGGTGGGAGGCTCCTGGAAGGAAGTGGAAGCCCAGGGGGGCATATTTCCTGACCCCACCTATTACTCTTTTTCCACAGAAGGCACTTGAATTGCCATTGCTGAATGTCCACCCCAACCTCTGTGTCCAGGTAAGAAGGGGGCATAAGAGCTCTGGGCTAGGGGCAGGACCCCGAGTGGACCCCCCCAGATAATTCACTGTCTTCTGGACCCACTTTATCCTTGAGTCACTGGAACAAAGTAGTTACTTCTGGGAGTTCCAGTATTGATTTTAGCAGTGCCATGGGACTCTGGGCAAGTCACTTTACCTCTCTGAATGTCAGTCTGTTTAATGGGGATGATAATAGTAAATACTTCATAGTAGTGGCTAAAACCAATACATGTTCCCACCCTGGAGAGCTTATGTTCTAATGGAGAAAGGCAGACAATAGACCTACACACTATGTTAAAATTGTATCTAAATACTATGGGAAGGGTGGGGAAGGATAAAGGAGGGTGGGGGTTGCAATTTCAAGTGGAGCAGTCAGATGAGGCCTCTTGGTGAAGGTGGTTAGATGAGAAGGGAATGTATAAAGACATAAAAAGAGCTAATTTAGGGTCATAAGGCCCTTTAGCACAGACACTCTCACAAAGCTAAGGCTGAGAAAAATGAAGTATTTGCTAATCATCCAGCCTTGAACCCTGATCTGCCTAAGATTAGGTCCAGAGTGCAGACCCCCTCCCCCCCACATGACAGGCCTCCCCTTACTGTCCTACCCTTTATGGCCTTGGCTCTCGCTTTTTCCTGAGCTCCTAACCTTGGCCCCTTCTAAGCAGGTGAGCAGCTGGGAGAAGCTGCAGCTGCAAGAGTGCTTGTGGGTTGGTGAGTGAAGCCTGGAGAAGGCTGGGGCAGGGCCACTGTAATAGGGATGAAGCCTAGAAGTGCCAACTCTTGGGGGGTGAAGGTCAGGCACAGGAATGGGTGGGGCGGGGGCAAGTGGCAGGCTCCAGCAAGTTTGGGTTTCACTCAAGACTGGGCTCTTACCCTTTCCAGACTCCCTTGGGCCCCTCAAGGATGATATGCTGTTGGTGGAGACACGAGACCCCCACAACAACAGATCACTCTGTGCCTTGGAACCCAGTGGCTGCACCCCACTACTTAGCAGGGCCTCCACGGTGAGGGCTAGGGGACCCTCCTCCATGCACCTTTCCAGTTCTGTCTCAAGCCTGGCCTCAAATTTTCACAATATTCAATTTCCCCTCCTCGGTTCCGGCCCTGTGCTGGTGTCTGGGAATGTGGGGGTGATTCAGACCTAGTTCCTGTTCTCAGAGGCCTCTTAGTAATCTCCATGCCCCATTCCCCCACTATTCTGCTCAGCTGCAGCTTGGTGGTCTCCTAAATGTGGTACCCCTAGGTGATAGTCCCCTTTTGTCTTGGCAGAGGGCAGCTCGCCTTGGAGAGCAATTACTACAAGATCTGCAGTCAGGCCAGTGTCTGCAGGTGAGTAGGTGGCAGGAGGGCCCTGCTCCAATGCCCAAGGGCAATAGGCCTAAAACTCTGTATTTAACTTCTTCCATCTCTTCCTGTGCCTCACAGAGGGCACCAGGGAAACTCTCACTCTTCCTAGGTAAGGGCCTCTTCTCTGTCCCCCTAGTACCCACTCACCATCTATTTGTGCTTATGTGTGTCCAGCCCTAGGGAAGCCAAGAGTTGAAGAAGCATAGTTCCTGTTCCCAAGTTGCTCACTGCTGGCTAGAAACCAGAAAACAGATAACCAAATTCATATGTGCTAAGCATTGGGTTCCATGGAAAGCTTCAAGGAAGGGACATTGTGCCAGATCTGGCAAGGAGGAAAGCAATAGTCCAGGCAGTAGGCATAGCATGATCAAAGGCAGAGAAGAGAGGCTTGTGGGGAACTACAGTGTGAGTGTGTGTGTGTGTGTGTGTGTGTGTGTGTGTGTGTGTGTGTGAGAAATATGCATAGCTGAGGCTGGAAATTTGGAGATCAGGCTGGCCAGAACTTGTGTTGTGGGGCCATGGTCTTGGTTTTGTTTGTCTTACAGCTGTGGGATGATGACCTGAGGGCACTGTGGGCCTGCCCCATGGACAAGTGTGAGTATTACAAGAATTGCCCTTCCCCCTCCGTACCAGGAGCTGGAATCTAGACAATCTTAGGGGCAGCACATGCAATGGCCTGTCTTTCCCTGGCTCAGATCAATCAGAGGGACACTCCTTCCTTCATTCAAAAGCCAAGAAGAGAGCTCACACAGAGTCTAGCATCACCAAAAAGGCACAATCCCTGCCCCCACCGCAGCCATAGAAAGCTAGAAAGACATTAGCTAAACAATCACTTACATTTAGTAAATGTGAGTTATTGAAGCATTTGCTATAAAATGTCTAAAACCATGAATGCAAATAATGAGGACCTGACTTAGATGGGGTGAGGCCGGGAAAAGGTTTGACCTGTTCTGAAGGCTGAGCTGAGTGAAGTGGGGGAAAAATGCTTTTTTGAGGAACTTCAAGGTGGCCATTGTGGCTAGAGGGTCTCGAGGGGCAGACCTCTATCACAAGGATGCAAGGGTCATCTAGGGCTTTGGGAGCTGATGTAAGGAATTGGATTTTATGTTAAGAGCAGTGGGAGCTTCCTGAAAGGCTATAATCAAATTTGTATTTTAAAAAGGTCTCTGGGGCTGCCATGTAGTGAATGAACTGGAGGCAAAAAAGAGGTCAGGGACACCGTTTGGAAGATTGTTGGAGTCATCAAGAGAGTGAGGTCAAGGGTCCAGCAACACTAGGCTTAGGAGACAATCTTAGCTGACATTTGAACACCTACTATGCCCAGCATTGTAAGTGCTTTGTGAGTATTAATACATGCAGTCCTCACAACAACTGTATGAAATAAGTACTAGTGTTAACCCAGTTTTACAGAGGTGAAAACTGAGGCAGAAGATGAAATGACTTTTCCAAGGTCACCCAAATAGATGGATCTATGTTCATATATTGACTCTGACACTACATGCTGTGGACTTCGGGCAAATCTTTCCATTTCTCTGAGTCGTCAGTCACATATCGCAGCCCCCGAGATCTTTTAAATCTTTGAGTTTTTCTCCTTTGTGAACTGGGGTGAAAGTGTATGGTATCTAATTAGCCTATCCTCTCCCCTGGGTCTCCTAGACGTTCACCAGCGCTGGGCTCTGGTGTGGCTGGCCTGCCTACTCTTTGTCGCTGTGCTTTTCCTTCTCTTCCTTTTCAGAAAGGACCAAGTGAAAGGTGAGCGCTTCCGGGCTTCCGCACTCCCCAGAGACAGGGCTGGGAGTTCCCCTTGAGAAGGTGGCAGCCGAGCTCATGGGCTTCCCCGCCCCTCTCCCCTAACAGGGTGGCTGAGGCTCTTGAAGGAGGACATCCGCGCGGGGCGTAAGTGTGAGCAAGTGCCAGGCGGGGGGCCGCCCCTAGCGGGCCGGCCTCGGGCCGTCTCACGTCTTCCCTTCCCCTCGATTTTTCTGGCAGCTGCCACCCGGGGCCGCGCGGCTCTGCTCCTCTACTCGGCGGAGGACTCTGGCTTCGAGCGCTTAGTGAGCGCCCTGGCGTCGGCGCTGTGCCAGCTGCCGTTGCGCGTGGCCGTGGACCTGTGGAGCCGTCGTGAACTGAGCGCGCAGGGACCCCTGGCCTGGTTCCACGCGCAGAGGCGCCAGACCCTTCAGGAGGGCGGCGTGGTGGTGCTGCTCTTCTCACCTGGGGCCGTGGTGCTGTGCCGGGAGTGGCTGCAGGACGGGGCTTCGACTCCCGCCCCGCAGGGCCCGCACGACGCCTTTGCCGCCTCGCTCAGCTGCGTGCTGCCTGACTTCCTGCAGGGCCGGGCGCCTGGCCGCTACGTCGGGGCCTACTTCGACGGACTGCTCCACTCAGATGCCGTGCCTGCCCTTTTCCGCAGCGTGCCGGTCTTCTCCCTGCCCTCCCAGCTGCCCGGCTTCCTGGGGACCCTGCAGGAACCCGGCGACCCCAGCCCGGGGCTGCTGAGAGAGAGGGCGAGGCTAGTGTCTCAGGCCCTGCAGCCTGCCCTGGACCAGCTGCTTAAGGCTCCCGGGGATCCCGGGGACCCTGAGGACGGGACGAGGGATGGCACGTGAGGCAGGGGAGACAACTTGAATAAAGGCAGACGCTATTTTTCTATCCGTGCCTCCGGCATGTGTCTGTGACCGCGCCACTAGCCGATCAGCACACCGGCGGCCCTTTAACACCCGTACAGGTGCAGCCCGGCGCCGCCTCCGGTTGGCTGACGTGGGATGACGCAATGGCACATGGGCCGCCACCATTGGCTGTGGGTAGGCCCCGCCCCCCAGACTGCGGAGCTGGCGGATGCTGCACGTCTTACGCAGCCAGCGGCTGCGGTGGCGTTGGGGAGACTCAGTCGTCGGCGCCCGCGGGCTGGGTGGGTCATCTCTTCCTCCCCCGCAGCCTATGCGGATCTGGATCGTCCCCTGTCAACTAGTGGGCCGCGTCTTTGCAGCCTGCGGGCCGCTAACCTGACCCCCTTTCTTCATATCCGGATCCGGGCTCCTCCCCACAAGACCCGGGTTCCGTTCCGGACTCCTCCCCCCAAGACCGCCCATCCGGCCTCTACTCTCCTATTACTTGGACTCTGACCCATTCTCCCCTAATTCTGCTGATCCTGGCCTAAAAACCCATATTCAGGCCTGAAAACAATGAGTTGACTTCTCCTTTGCCAAGGACTCAGGCCACCTCTCCCACCGTGACAAGGATAACTTATTACCGTCTTGGAATTGCAGAATAGGCTCCTTCCTCACCACCTCCCCTCCCCCAGCCGAACCCCCGAGTCTAGCCTCTTTTTCTTATAATAACACACATCTGGGCTCCCAGACCCGCGGCACCTCAGAGCCAACCCTTTTCTTTCTCACCTGGCTCCTCCAGTGAGTCATCCCCATTCCCTCTATCTACAGGTTCCCAGCCTGGGTCAGAGATGGCCTCACTGCCCCCCAGAGGCCTGGTCCCACCTCTGCTCTGGGGCCTAAGTCTCTTCCTTAGCCTCCCAGGCCCCGTCTGGCTCCAGCCCTCTCCGTCTCCCCAGTCCTCTCCCCCAACTGAGCTCCATCCATGTCATACCTGCCGTGGACTGGTCGACAGCTTCAACAAGGTGGGTGCATGAGCAGCCTTGTGGGGGGCGGCCTAACCATTATAGCACAGGGGTCGAGAGGAGTTCCGGGATGCAAGTCTGCATGAGTCAGGTACTAGCTTGGTTGCTTACTAGTTGTATATAGCCTTGGGCAGTTTGCCTCTCTGCCTCAGTTCCCTGGTGAGTGAAATACCAAAGTGCTAGAATGTGTCAGGCACTGTACTTAGCCATTACTAATGTTCTCCATTTCCAGGGCCTGGAGAGAACAATCCGGGACAACTTCGGAGGTGGAAATACTGCCTGGGAGGAAGAGAAGTTGTCCAAATACAAAGACAGGTAAGGGGCTGGAGAGGTGGGTTTGTACACCTCACCTCCCAATCTCTGCTCTACTGGTGGGGGCCTGGAGACTCTTGGGGAGTCCTTATTCAACAAATATCACTGAACATCTATAGTACAGCAGTAGATAAGGCATGCAAAACCCATTGTTAAGGAGCTTACATTCTAGTAGAGGAGACAGTGAATAAGTAAATAGATAATGTCATATCAGGGAAAGAATAGACTACAGAATGGTGGGAGGTGTGATGTTCAAGGTGTGACATTTAAACAGAAACCTGAAGGGGGCGCTTGGGTGGCTCAGACGGTTAAGCATCCAACTTCGGCTCAGGTCATGATCTCGCGGTCTGTGAGTTCGAGCCCCGCGTCAGGGTCTGTGCTGACAGCTCAGAGCCTGGAGCCTGTTTCAGATTCTGTGTCTCCCTCTCTCTCTGACCCTACCCTGTTCATGCGGTCTCTCCCTGTCTCAAAAAAATAAATAAACGTTAAAAAAAATTTTAAACAGAAACCTGAAGTAAAGAAGCAAGCTATGTGACAGTCGGGGAAGGGATTTAGACAGAGTGGGACTGAGCTTGATGTATTTGAGAAGAGGCTGGGGGGGGAGTGAGCAGAAGAGAGAATGGTACAACATGAAGCCAGAGGGCCTTGAAGGTCACAGAACGGAGTTAGATTTTATTCTGAGTGTAATGGTAAGCCATTGGAAGGTTTGGAGCAGGGAAGTGATGTGGTCTTATTTATACCTTTAAAAGATCACTCACTGCGATGTAGCAAAAAGACTGTAGGGACCAGAGTGGAGAAAGCAGGGAGAACATTTGGGAGGCTGGTCTTAAGTGTAACAGCAGCATGAGCTAGTGTGGAATCTAGTGGTGGACATGGTGAGAACGGGTCAGATTCTGGGTATATTTTGCAGATGGACTGCTGGGTTTGATGATGGAATCATTATGGGGTATGAGAGAAAAAGTAGAATAAAAAGTCCTTAGGTTTTGGGACTGAGCAACTGGGTGAATAGTGCAGCTGTTCTACGGTATAGGTAAAACTGAGGCAGGACCAGATTTAGAGGAGGGGTGGAATCAGGTGTTCTCTTTGAACATATTGGGCTGGGAGGTCTGTTAAACAGCCAAGTAGAGTTAGATTTAGCTGTGGGGAAATCAGGGGAAATGTAGGAGTTAGAAATATGAATTTGGGAGTCATCAGCATATAGTCAGTATTATAAAACCATGGAATGAGTTGAGACTATAATGAATGAAAGGTCTGAGTCCTAGGCCTTCCCACTTTTCAAAGTCAAGTTGAGGGGCACCTGGGTGGCTTAGTTGGTTAAACATCCAACTCTTGGTTTCAGCTCAGGTGATGATCTCATGGTGAGATCAAGCCCCATGTCAGGCTCTGTGCTACCAGCGCAGAGCCTGCTTGGGATTCTCTCTCCTCTCTCTCTCTGCTCCTCCTCCACTCATGTGCACTTGTTCTCCCTCTCTCAAAATAAATACATAAACAAAAAAAAGTCAAGTTGAAGAGAAGAAATCAGCAAAGACTTGGAGTTAGACAGACTTGGATGTCACTTGTGACCCTGTGTATCCTAGGGAAGGTCACTTAACCTCTGTGAGCCTCAGTTTCCTCATCTGTAAAATGGGGATGTTAATACTTGCTTTGACTATCTCATAGGATTGTGGTAAGGATTAAATGGTGATGCCCACTGGAAACAAAAGGTTTTGTTATCATGTAACATTGGTCATTTTCCTTTCCCTTCAGGGGTCTCAGTTTCCTCATTTAGGAATGAGATTGGGCAAGATAACCTGAAGAGCACTTTTGGCTGTATAGTGGCTCCTGTTTTTTGTTTGTTTGTGTTTTGTTTTTTAAGTCGTCTCCTCCTATATGCCAGGCACATGCCAGACCCTTTAAATACATTATATATATATATATATATATATATATATATATATATATATATATATAAAATGTGTGTGTGTGTGTATACATACTTAAAAAATTTTTTTTATTACAGTAAAGTATATATAACATAAAATTTACCACTAGAGACATTTTGTACATTTATAGTGTTTTGCAGTCTTTACCACTCTCTAGTTCCAGGCCACTTTTATCACTCCAGAAAGGAACTCTGTACCTATTAAGCAATCACTCCCTGTTCTCCCCTTCCCCCAGCCCCTGGCAACCATTACTCTGCTGTCTGTGTCCATTGGATTGCTGATTCCATTGGAACCCATTTATGTCTGGCTTCTTTCACTTGTCATGATGTTTTAAAGTTATTTACTTATTTTTGAGAGAGAGAGAGAGAGAGAGAGAGCAAGCTGGGGAGGGGCAGAGAGAGAGAATCACAAGCACACTCCACAATGTTAGTGCAGAACCCAGTGTGGGGCTCAAACTTATGAACCATGAGATCATGACCTGAGCCGAAATCAAGACTCAGACACTTAACCAATTGAGCCATCCAAGCACCCCTTTTTAAAGCTTAATAAAATTTCATTGTATGGATACTACATTTTGTTTATCCATTCTTCAGTTAATGAATATTTGGGTTGTTTCTACCTTTTTTTTTTTTTTAATGTTTATTTTTGAGAGAGAGACAGAGACAGAGACAGAGCACGAGCTGGGGACGAGCAAGAGAGAGGGAGACACAGAATCCAAAGTAGGCTCCAGGCTCTGAGCTGTCAGCATAGAGCCTGACACGGGGCTTGAACCCACGAACCGTGAGATCATGATCTGAGCTAAAGTCAGACGCTTAACTGACTGAGCCACCCAGGCGCCCCAAGTTGTTTCTACCTTTTGGCTGCTGTGTATAGTATTGCTACAAACATTTGTGTACAAGTGTTTGTTTGAACATTCTTTTGGGTATATAACCAAGAGTGGAATAACTGATTCATATGGTAATTGCATGTTAAACTTATTGAGGAAGTGCCAAACTGTTTTCCACAGTGGCTACACCATCTTTCATTCCATTCACCTTCACCATTCACCTTCAATGTAGGAGCGTTCCAATTTCTCCACATCCTGCCAACACTTGTTACATGATGTATTTTTTTTTTTTTCAACGTTTATTTATTTTTGGGACAGAGAGAGACAGAGCATGAACGGGGGAGGGGCAGAGAGAGAGGGAGACACAGAATCGGAAACAGGCTCCAGGCTCTGAGCCATCAGCCCAGAGCCTGACGCGGGGCTCGAACTCACGGACCGCGAGATCGTGACCTGGCTGAAGTCGGACGCTTAACCGACTGCGCCACCCAGGCGCCCCACATGATGTATTTTTAATCACATATACGCAACAAGGGTATTATCTTCCATTGTGAAAATGCAGGAACTGAGATATCTTACAACAAACGTGCAGGGCAGGTTTTGTTTCCATTTTTCAGATGAGAAAAGAGAGGTTCAGGAGAGGTTAAGTGACTTGCCCAAGGTCACTCAACTAAATTCAAACCCAGGTCTGTCTGACTTGCTAATCAGTACCCCTTCCGTTATGCCCTACGGCCTTTCCTTTGACATTGTCATGGCATGAGGGTGGGGGGAGAGGAGACCTTAAGGAGGGTGGTGGATGGGGTAGAACATATTCATACGATCCCTGCCCTGTCCGGTCAGTGAGACCCGCCTGGTAGAGGTGCTCGAGAGTGTGTGCAGCAAATCGGACTTTGAGTGCCACCGCCTGCTAGAGCTGAGTGAGGAGCTGGTGGAGAGCTGGTGGTTTCACAAGTGAGTTACT